TAGAACTACCATATGACCCAGTCATCCCACTACTGGGTATCTATCCAAAGAGCTTGAAGTCAGCAATTTCAAAAGTCCCATGCACCCCTATGTTCATTGCAGCATTATTTACAATACCCAAGACGTGGAAGCAACCTAAGTGCCCATCAACTGATGATTGGATAAAGAAGATATGGTGTATATGTATACAAAAGACTACTACTCAGCCATAGAAAAGAATAAAATCGTCCCATTCACAACATGGATGAACCTTGAGGGAATTACATTAAGTGAAATAAGCCAGATAGAGAAGGACAATCTCTGTATGATTCCACTCATATGAGGAATTTAAACATGTAGACTAAGAGAACAGATTAGTGGCTACCAGGGGAAAGGAGGGGTGGGGGTGGACACAAAGGGTGAAGGGGTGCACCTACGACAAGACTGATAAACAATAACGTACAATTGAAATTTCACAAGATTGTAAACTATCATAAACTCAATAAAAATTAACTTTAAAAAAACCCCAAAAAACCAAACAGTCACCCATACTATGGAATACCAGTCAGCAATAAAAAGGAACAAACCATTGACACACACAACAACTTCAATGGATCTCAAGGGCATTATATGTTGATTGAAATAGGCCAATCTCAAAAAGTCACAAATTGAATGGTTTCAGATATATAACATTCTCAAAATTAAAATTAGAGAAATTAGAGAAAGAGAATGATAGGGTTGGGACGGGGGAGGGGAGAGAATGTGACTACAGAAGGCAGCACGAAGGAGATCTTTGTGGTGATGAAACAGTTCTGCACCTCAACTACAGTGGTAGTTACACAAATCTACATGTGATAAAACGACAGTGAACTACACACACTTTACATTAATGTCAACTTCCTGGTTTGATATTATACTATAGTTATTTAAGATGTCACCATTACAGGGAAACTGGGTGAAGGATACACGGGACCTCTCTGTACTATCTTTGTAATTTCCTGTGAATCTCTAATTATTTTAAAATAAAAGTTTTTTATAAATAAAGTAAAAGGATGAAAATGATATCCATGCAAACACTAATCAAAAAAGCAGATATCATTTTATTTAAGTTAGACATCATAAGTCTTCACAAAAGAAAGACCAGAGATAAAGAATGACATTAAATGACAGTAGAAGGTCAATTCCATAGGAAGTTAATGACCCTAAACTTGCATCATCTAATAACATACTCTAAAAATACATAAAGTAAAACTGACAAAATTTAAAGCAGAAACATGCACAATGATGTTTAGAGATTAACACAAATCTCTCAGTAACTTATAAAATAAACAACCAAACTCTGAATATGGATACAGAAGATTTGAACTAGACAATTAAAAAATATGACCCAATGACATATAGAGCAACACATTCAACAACTGAAAAAAGACAAATGATTTTCAAATACACAAAGAAAATTTACTTATGTTGTCAACATGATGACTCATAAAGCAAGTCTCAACACATTACAAAGACTGAAATAAAAAAATTACACCAATGTTCTCTGGCCACAGTGGAATTAAAAGTCAAATACAAAAAGATAACTAGGAAAATCCCCAACCAGGGATTTGGAAATAAGGCAGCATAGTTCTAAATTGAACATGGACTAAAGTAGAAATGACAAAGGAAATTAGAAAATATTTTGAACTGAATCATAATGAAAATATCATGTGTCAAAACTTAAATGCATGCATTTTTAAAAAGGAAAAAGTACAATACTGGCGATCTAAGAATTCATCTTAGGAAGCTAGAAAAAGAACGGCAAATTAAACTCAAAGAAAGCATGAAAGGAAATAAAGGAAAGACCAGAAATCAGTGAAGTCACAAGCAAACACCCTGAGAAGGACACGGCATCACTCATTCAGACAGGATTCCAGAGAGAACGTTTAATCTGAATCTGAGAGCAAGGAAACATCAGACAAACCAAAATTTGAAACACTCTATAAACTACCTGCTCTGTAGTCCTCAAAAACGTCAATGGAATGAAAGACAGAAACGCTAAGAAAGACCGGGTTAGAGACTAAACAGACGTGACACTTCAACACCACATCTGACTCAGGACCACATCTGTAATGGAGAAAAAGTGTGCTACAAAGGGCATCTGTGGGAAAATAGACAAAACTGGAATACGGACTTAGAGTAAATGTGTAGTATTGTATCAATGTTAAATGTCCTGAAGTTGGTAACTGCATTGATTTACGTAAGAAAACAGCCTTTCCCAAGAAATACACACTAAAGTATTAAGATGTAAAGAAGAATGAAGTAAGCAACCTAGTCTGAAATGACTAAGAAAATAATACTAAGATAAAAAGTGAATGATAAAGTAAGTGGCAAAATCCTCAAAATTAGTGAATCTGGATAAAGGACACATAGGAATTCTCTGTACTATTCTTGCAACTTTTTTATAAGCTTGAATCTATTTCAAGATAAAAGTGAATTTATTTCAAGATAAAAGTGAATTTATTTCAAGTCTGAATTTATTTCAAGATAAAAGTTTGGGGCCAGCCTGGTGGCACAGTGGTCAAGTTTGCACGCTCTGCTTCAGCGGCAGGGAGTGTGCAGGTTCAGATCCAGGTGTGGACCTGGCACCACTTGTCAAGCCACGCTGTGGCGGCATCCCCACATAAAACAGAGGAAGATTGGCACAGATGTTAGCTCAGGACCAATCTTCCTCACACATAATCAAGATAAAAGTTTAAAATTTCAAAAGAGAAGACAACACCAAAAGTTTGGCTCTTTGAAAAAATAAAACTTGATAATTTCCTATCAAGATTAATTAAGGGAAAGAGACACAAATTATCGATATCAGGAATAAAAAATGGTGACATTCCTGCAGAGCTTCATTGTGGCACTGTAATTTATAAGAAATAACCAAAATGTATTTCTGATACGTATGTGGTCTTCATCCACAGTTCCTGACTCACAGCTGCCAAGAACTCTTGGGATTTCCTAAGTGTTGAGTGTGATTAAGGTGTCTTTTGTTAAGTAAATGGATGATTTTTGGACCCCACCCAATGTGGGGGCTGGATGCCAGGAGAACCAGGCCTGTGATCAGAGGATTCAGTCCCACACTGATTTTCAGAGAAAGGAGGGGGGGCTTGAGCTGGAATCAATCGCCAATGGCCAATGACTTAGTCAATCATGACTACGTAATGAAGCCTCCGTAGAAAACCAGAAGGACAGCTCATCAGCCCTTTTCAGAGAGCTTCTGCACTGGGGAATCAGAACACTTCCATGTGCCACCAAGCTGGGCCCCAAGCACCACGAGGACACAAGCTGCTTTCTTAGCGACGTACCGTATGTATCTCATCATCTGGCTGTTGATTCGTATCCTTTACCATCTTGCAATAAGTTGGTGAGAAAACGAGTTTTCTTGAGGTCTGTGAGCCGTTCTAGTAAATTAATCAAACCTGAGGAGGGGGTGGTGGGAACCTCTGATTTATAGCCAGTCGGTCAGAAGCACAGGTGACAACCTGGACTTGCATCTGGTGTCTGAAATGGGGGATAGTCCTGATGCACTGACACTGATAGTGTCAGAATCAAGTTCAATTCTCGGACACCCAGCTGGAGCTCGAGAACTGCTTGCTGTTGTGGGGAAGACTCCACACTCGTGTTGGAATTGGGTCCAAGAGCCCTTTGCACACATACCTTAGCTAGATCACAGGAATTTAAATATAAATTTGAAAAGAAATCCCTTGAAAAATACAAAGCGTCACAACTGATATAAGAAAACCAAACCCCCAAAAATCTGCATAGTCTTATATCTGTTGAAGAAATTAACTCCAGAATTAAATATATACCCACAAAGAACACTCCAGGAATATTGGCTATTTAACCTAGAAAATGTTTTCTAAAAAGTCACAGACATTTATTAAATTAGTCTGACAATTTCTAAAAGTCAGCAATTTCTAAAACATTGTTTAGCCATGAAATTCCTTCTTCATATGAAAGCTTACAATATATAAGATGGATAAAGATAGAGACTACTTTAACTGGAAGCTGAAAAGGATTGATAAACCCAAATCCTGGTTCAGCCTCACCTGCTAATTCTACATTGCCAATCTCTGAGAGATTCCTCAGAATCCCTGGGAGTCCATGGAATGGTTCTGAATATCACCTCAAATTAGTGCTAAAAACATCTTTTTGCAAATTTCTAAAAGCATAATGAGAGGAAGGATGAACAAGACATTTTTCTACAATTATTTACTTTCCTTTTCTGAACAAAAGGATGTAAGTTCATGATCGTAATAAAGAACTGACTACAAACCTTAAAAAGCAGAAAGACTACAAAAACTGTTATTTGACATACTCCCCTCAAGTCATGCCAGCTTTGGTCAGCTGTAATCTTGTCCTGCCTGTCCCTAAGGTTGGCCATACAGTCAAAGGCAAAGCGTCCTAGAAATACAAGGTGCTTTCATATACCAGACTCTAAAGGTGAACAGATGTGACACATGTCACACACAGCATCAGTTTATCTCAACCACCAGCGAACTTGTTTAAAATATGAAGGGCTCTTATCTTCATATCTTTCTGGTTAAATTAACCAGAAGAATCTTATTCCAAGTCAAAGCATTAAAGTGGAATAATACTCATATCTACAATGTTACTAAACTGCATTTTATAGGTCCATATCTACCTTTTGGGATGAGAGTATAATTAGAGATGGAAGAGAAAGAAACAGTTTATAAATGCTGATACAGTGAGCAGAATTAATTCTACCATGCATTAATTACAAAATTACTAATTTTTTTCCATCTTTTAAAACACTAAAATGTCTCAGAAAAAAGTGAATTTGGCTTTCCATCCCTTTCAGATTAGCACTGTCTAGTTTTGACTAATGTTACTAATATTCTCCATGATGTCATTTAGAGAGCATCTTCTTTAGTTTTATATAACAATAAATATGTTAGAAATTAAGCTTATATGTAATTTAACTTTGTAACCTCAGTGCACAGGAAATCAGGCAGAAATGGGTAACCAACCTGGTACAGAGGAACTTCCATCCTCCACAGACAAACCACTCTAGTCCTCTTTTTCTTTGCGAGATCCTAGCTCGTGGTAACGTGTGGTAATCACTTTCATCATTCTCAAAGCCCTCTTCAGACATCATCAGTGGCATTTCATCCAAATGGGCAGACTCATCTTCCAGCTGGAACCTGGTTAAAGGTGAGAACAGAATGCTGAGGCAGGCCAAGCCATCTTCCGTCACGGGGTAAGGGTTTCGTCTAAGGCAAGAGCTGGTCCAATTCTACCAATCACACTTTTCTTTCTTCTCCAACTAAGCTGTCTTCAGCAGAGGCAAACCATTATAAATATCCCTGCATAGTACTTTCCTTTGCAGAAAATGCACTTAACCAAGGGAAACAGGAAAGGAAAAAGCCACCCAAGGAAGCCGACATTACCATGCTGTGAGCAAACCCTCCAAGCAGCCTTCCATGTACACAGTCAGCTTGACCACACCACCCACTCACTGGGTTCAATTCAAGAATATAAAAAAATCAATCATCCAGGGGCTGGCCCCGTGGCCGAGTGGTTGGGTTCGCGCGCTCGCTGCAGGCGGCCCAGTGTTTCGTTGGTTCGAATCCTGGGCGCGGACATGGCACTGCTCATCAAACCACGCTGAGGCAGCGTCCCACATGCCACAACTAGAAGGACCCACAACTGAAATATACAACTAGGTACCGGGGGGCTTTGGGGAGAAAAAGGAAAAAAATAAAATCTTTAGAAAAAAAAAATCATCTGAAACATTACTATTAGCAAAAAAATATATACCTCCAAGTCATATCTAAACATTCTATTCTACGGATTGATGGACGTAAAATTTAACCAACTTCACATTCATCAGTCAAAGTTGTGGAAGTGACTATGTAGGTGTCTAATGCTGACAGATGGAAACATGGCCCCTTGGTTTGCTGTCAGAGTTGATATACACAGCAAGGATGCTATGTCCCGCTTATTCTCTGTCTGTTATTCCCTTTACTAAAACTTTCTATTCAATGAAATACTCTCCTCCACAAGCAGCATCCCTTCTAGAGTTCAACAATCCCCTTTTGATTCCAAAAATACGCAGCCTACCATCAAATGTCCATTTATCTTTCCTCAATCATTAACATATTTATCTTTAAAAAATAAAAACTTACCTTTTTGAGAACCTACAATTTGTCAGAAACCATAATGGAGATTCAACAAATGCTATCTTATTTAATTTCACATCAAGCCTCCAGGTAGGAATTACCCCAAGTTAAAAATAAAGAGAGCAGGGGCCAGCCCAGTGGCTCAGCGGTTAAGTGTGCATGTTCTGCTTCAGCGGCCTGGAGTTCGCCAGTTCAGATCCCAGGTGCAGACATGGCACCACTTGGCAAGCCATGCTGTGGCAGGCATCCCACATATAAAGTAGAGGAAGATGGGCACGGATCTTAGCTCAGGGCCAGTCTTCCTCAGCAAAAAGAGGAGGATTGGCAGCAGATGTTAGCTCAGGGCTAATCTTCCTCAAAAAAAAAAGAAGATGATGATGACCTGGGAGTAAGCTTGAAGCATTTACCACCTCCCCACCAAGTTTGGGACAACTGAGCAATAAGGATAATGACTCTTATTGATTGTAATTTGTTAAACAGAATTCATGAGTCTATAGTGATTCTCAAGAAGAGAGAGAGAAGGAAAACTCCTCTTTACCAAAAATTACCAGCTCATATATGTGGAAATAATGTGAGAATCCTCATTTTCCAACCCTCAATGTAGTAACTGGTTTAGGCCAAGATCATTAGTAGATATGAAAATCATCTGGTAAAGGCTGCTGGGAACAGAACGTCGCATGATACTGCAGGACAACCCAGAAATTCCTCACAACTGCAAACGGAAATGTACAAACTGCCAAAAGCTCTAGAGGCCCCCCCTTAAATGAGTCATCAAACTCAGAACCACTTCCCATGAGACAACCTGACATTGTCTGCCTGCTGATGTGATGCAATATGAAGCATATCAATCATTCTTGCCAAAACATTTACTGAATTTAATCAGTCTCTAGAGCAGGGGTTCTCAAAGTGTGGTCCCCAGACCAGCAGCATCACCACCACCTGGGAATGTGTCAGAAAAGCAAATCCTCAGGCACCCCAGGACCTACAGGACAAGAAACCGTGGGAGTAAGCCTACAATGCATGCTAAGGAGTCCCGCACACTGATGTTACAGAAGCACTGTTTGAGAGCTCATTTTCATACGACAGGAAGTGCAGGAAATGAAGAGCAGTTACTGACTCAGGAGGTACAAATCCAGAATGTGGGGCACACTATAAACAACTGGCCTGGACTTTTCAAAAGCTCCATACTGTTAGGAAAAAGAAAAACTGTTAAGATTTCTCCAGATTAAAAGAAATTTAAAGAGATACCACCAAATGAAACACTTAAACCTTGATTGGTACCTGGATTCAAAAAAAGTGTTATAAAAGACATTCTTGAAAATGTTCTGGAATTAAATGGTGGTGATGTCTGCACAACGCTGTCAGTGTACTAAATGCCACTGGATTGTGCACTTTAAAATGGTGAATTATATGTTGTGTATTTTAACACAATTTGAAAAAAAATAAATTCTTAATACAACAGGAGATATCCAAAATGGGCTGGATATGCCATGTTATGAGTTAGCTAATTTTCTCAGTTGTGACAACAGTGATGTGGCTGAAGAATCATGCTTACTGTTGGGAGACCCACGCTGAAGGTCACTCGACCCACAACACACCGTGAAACAGTTCAGCACAGAGAGAGAGAAAGCAAATGGGGTATAATGTTAACAGCTGTTGAATCTCTATAGAATACTATTCTTTGGATGTTTCTGTATGTTTGAAATATCTAATAATGAACAATTGGGAAAAATGTATTCGAGGGAAAATAATTTTAAAGACCAAAACAGATGTCCTCTCTTTGTTGTTTCTTGAATCCCCGGCTTCTCCATCTTTTTTCCTACCATGTTCTCTAAGATCTGTGGTCATTTGGAAATTTGTCATCTTCATCATCATTACTCTCTTCTTTCTCTAGATCTCTTATACTCACAAGCCAACACTTTGGAAATGAAAGCCTTAAGAGGGAAGGACAACGATGAGTGCTACTCCAAAGAATCATGAATATCCAACAACACTAGGATTTCCATTCTGCTCTAGACTTTATGAAAATACATCCTCCTCAGTATAGAAGAGCTTTATATCTGCAGTTAGCTTTCTTTTTAGCAAACTTTTCAGGTAATTGTATTTCTATGTGCACAGGCATGTGTGGGCATGTACACGCACACATGCATGTGCACATGCATTTAGGTGGGTAAGTGCCAGTGAGTGTGTGTGCACGTGCATGGTGATGGTGCCAGATAGCGCTTTGCCTATTAGGATGCTGTGAGAAGGTCAGAAGGCAAGATCCAAAAGCCTCTGTTTTCAGGACTTTATTCTTAAAATAAGTATCTGGCTGTCAAGAATCCAAACATAAGTGTAATTCAGTGATAGAAAGTCCCTGGATAGAAAGTCCCCGGATGAGCTAATGCCAACCTGAGACCCAAGTTTCTCTACCGTCTTTTTAACATTTGTTAACTAAAAAGTACTCCGCAAGTGGATTAACCAAGTGGCTGAGCTATCCCTTATTGCTGGACAGACAAGATATTTACAATTTCCCATTAAATAATATTTCAGTGAAAGTATCTGTGCATAGAACATCTCCCATATTTTTACATGAATTATTTCAGATCTCTAGAACTAGAAGTGTTATATAAAGTCATAAGCTCTAAAACACTTGATATATATTACCAAACTGCACATTTAAACTCCAACCAATATGAGTGCCATGAATAATACCAAAAATACTAGAAGCAATTTTACCTAACCTCATCAGACTGAGGCTGAATACACTGCCCCTCTGCTTACATACGGGGGAAGACAATGGCATCTTGTTGTCATCGGCCCTACACACGCATGGTGTCATGGGATCGTATACTACTTACAAACTCTGGCTAAGACTGCCCCGCCTCTTGTACAGAAAATTCAGTTCAGCTGGGCACATTTTGGCTGTGTACAACCTTGGGCACCCTGCAGCCAGTGTGCTCTGCCTGTGGCTCCACACTCAGCAGTCCCGGCACCATCAGCCTCCTCACAGGGAAGTCTTTTATTGAAGACGCACTTTTTCACTGGCCAGAAGCTCAACGTGCCCCTTGAGCTAATGCTACCAAGACTATGACTGTTTTCATTAGTGATGTGGTCACAAAGCAGGATAGGTTTCCGGTGGTCTGCCTTGTCTAACTTGTTTTTGCCCGTAAACACTATTTTCAGTGAGCATTTCCACTGAACGAGGTTTTGCGGGAATGCATACACTATCTAACAACAGAAATGGCAATATTATTTCTGGAAGAGTCCATCTCTCCCATGTTGATTTGCCAAGCAATCTTTTAAATATATTAGAGTAACCTGAGGAATTGTTTTTTCCATTTTTAATGAAATCAGTACAACTTAAATATGGCTTCATATGCAACTTAATATCTGATACAACTTATCCACTCATAATTCATGCCCAAAGTTGTCTTTGCTACTTTTCAAAGAAGGCTATCTTTTCCCTACTAGATAAACTCTTAAATCATTTTGTTGAGTTCCAAAAGTAAGCAAACAAAAAAATCCTGTTAGAATTTTAAACATTATATTGAATTTATAAACAAGATTAGGGAAGAACTGGATGAGTAGGTAATACATAGTTTCATTCAAAAGTTCTTACGTTCTTAAAATTTTATATCTACACATCTGTCAAAACATTTTAAATAATTTTATTCTTAGATATTTTATCATTATAATGTTATCATAAATATATCTGTTTTTCCCATAGGATTTTCTAGTTTGACAATGCTAACTTATAGGAACTGTATTTATCTTGTATCAGTCATAAGTTACTTTCGCTCCAAGACTTTTTTAGCTCCAAGTACAATTTTGTGCCATCTATCTATTCTATGTTGGAGCTGGACCTGTCTCTGTAAAGGCAGTGACTTGCTCACAGCCCCAGCCCCAAGACAGCAGCCCCAGGTAGTCCCTGAGCAGGAGCGGGCGAGGCGAGCTTTCCACCTGTGACTGGACCTGTTGTCTGCAGCAACCTCAGAGCAGCTAATCCACAGGCTGTCCCAAAAGGTGGCTGAGCACAGTTA